CCATCCGCCTCAAGGTTTGACATGTTCAGAAATGCTCTTCTGCATACCTCAGTTGTAATGAGTGGTTATTTGAGTTACTGTTGCCTTTCTATAAGCTTGAACCAGTCTGACCATTCTCCTCTGACCTCTGACATAAACAAGGCATTTGTGCCAACAGAACTGCCGCTCACTGGATATTTTCTCCTTTTTGGATTATTCTCAGTAAGCCCTAGAGATGGTTGTGCATGAAAACCCCGGTAGATCAGCAGCTTCTGAAATACTCAGACCAGTCAGTCTGGCACCAACAACCACACCACTTTCAAAGTCACCTAAATCACCTTTCTTCCCCATTCTGATGCTCAGTTTGAACTGCAGAAGATCGTCTCGACCATGTCTACATGCCTAAATGCACTGAGTTGCTGCCCTGTGATTGGCTGTTTAGAAATTTGCATTAACAAGCAGTTTGACAGGTGTACCAAATAAAGTGGCCGGTGAATGTATATGACACAATTTTCAGATTTTACATACATAAAATGTCATATATTATATATATATATATATATATATATATATATATATATATATATATATATATATATATATATATATATATATATATATAACTATTGAAATCACAAAAATGCACATATACTGTATGTTCAAATAGTATATATGACAATTCCAGTGGGTAAAAAAAACCTAATTGTAAACATAGATTTTGTATATATTATTATATAATAAACAGTATTCGGAAAAATATGTTGAAATATGGGCGTCACGGTGGCGCAGTGGGTAGCACGATCACCTCACAGCAAGATGCACATGCGGTATAGGTGAATTGGGTAAGCTAAAATTGTTTAGTGAATGAGTGTGTATGAATGTTTCCCAGTACTGGGTTGCAGCTGGAAGGGCATCCACTGCATAAAACATGTGCTGGATAAGTTGGCGGTTCATTCTTCTGTGGCGACCGTAGATTAATAAAGGGACTAAGCCGAAAAGAAAATAACTGAATGAATAAATGTTAAAATATATGCATATATGACAAATTGTACATGTAAAATCTGATTATTAACTTGTATGTAACATATGTAATTTGCATATTGCTGTCAGATTTCTATGCGAGTGGGTGTGAACTATTTACGATAACAGACAGACAGTAAACAGCTCTGGGGAATTTAGTGTTATTAATTAAGGAGTGGTCAAGACTAGAATTATAGTTGAAAGTGAGATCTTGGTGTCGTCTATAAAAAGATGTGGTGCACTGGTAAGGGTCCCAAAGAGATAAAATGGCAGCAGATGTGAGTCTGTGGCAGAAAAGAGCAGCCACAATAGTCATGTTACAACAGATCCTCTTTCCATCGATCCACAGAGGAAGAACCCTGCAGGAAGAGTTTATAGGTGAAATTTAAAGCCTGTTTTTCTGGGAGAGGTCCTTTCAAGGGCAGTGACTGTGCGAAAGAGATTGAGGGACAGCAGCGAGAGGCAGAAAGAAGGATTAATAACGTTTGTTGTTTTCACATTGTTTAGATGAGTTGTTGTTTGTATGTTATTTTTGACTTCTAATGCTATCCAAAGAATGGTAGACATCTGGGTGCTGTTGTGGGCCTTTGAGGTCTTTTGACGAACGGTTTCAGTTTCAGATTTCAAAGATGAGGTTTGTCTCATTTGTTTTTACATGCTCTTCATCTTTTTGAAGTCTGTCTGATTTATTAGTTAAACTAAAGCTTTCATGGAGAACTCTGCAGGCCTAGAATATTCCTCCTAACCAGAACAGAAGCCCCAAAGTGCTCTGCTGTTACTTATTCTCACTTGGTTTAAATTTAAGGATAGATACAGTCTCCATTATCATATATCAGTTCTCTGGGTTGTGAAAATGAGCTTCATTCTGTTTTGGGGATTGCTTTTGACCATATTATTGCTTTCCTCCCTTTTCTTCCTTTCTCCTGTGTGCCTGTCATTGTCTGACACCAGAGGGCGCTTTATGTCCTTTTATAAACTTGCAAACAAATCAAACATGTTGCATCCCTACTAGTTCTCCACATTGAAGTTGAGACAAGCCGTTTAGAGTTGACAGTTTAGCATCTGACCCACATTTTACTTCAGTGAATGTTTCATAGGTTTTAATTTGAAGGCAGTATCTGTGTGTATGCAAACATCTTGGCTGTTGATCACTACATTAATCTATTACCCAAGAAGAATTTAGGACATTCTACCAGAAACGTACATTTTCAGTTATAATAAATGTGGCAGGGCCTGACTTAAGCTTGTCGTCGTCAAAAAATCATACAAAACAAGCATGAAATCATACAATTCAATGATAAAACGCATTCTTCTCCATTATGATGTCACTTCCGAGTCAGCCATAGATGTGTATTGCACGCACTCTATGTTTAATGCAAATGTGACACGACTGACAGAAACATGGGGACATCTGTAGATTTATTTGTATTATATTTGTAGTATTTATTTGTAGTATTTTATTTTTTAATCAGCTGATGTGAATGATACCAACTTAAACTTGCTATTTCTGAAGTTTTTTCTTCTAAACAACAGTTTTTAGCATAAAACAATTAAAGCTGTTGGTTCATTTGGGCTGGGGAGAAGGACATTTACAGAGTTTGTACATTTGTAAAGTGTTTTTAATGAAGAAAACACATCAGAGAACCAAATCAATGACACATTTCTTTATGGAACAACTCACAGAAGTCAACCAGTCCATTTTTGAAATGCTTGAGTTGAAATACTATTAACTGTATTCATGTTTTTATTTCAGGGACAGATAATGTACGTTTCTGGTGGAATGTCTCATTTATGCATTAAATGTTACTGTAGTCGCATTTCAGCACAATTCCTTCCTCACTGTGACAAACTAGTTATTAAATTATGTTAAATGACAACATATAAAATGCATGTGACAACATGTTGCATCTTATGCCAGACTCAGATAAGGTTCTCTACTTTATTATTGTGCACTGTTACCTTTTGTACTAATATTTACAGTACTTATGTTATTGTCTTCTTCGTTTGTTATTGTAGGAAAAATGTTATGATCTGGAATTTCTATGACTTCAATGGCCTCATGTTTTCCACTGAAACATTCTAATTCTTATTCTTATTATGTATTCTAATTACACTTGTAAAAACAACCCTTAAACCATAGTTTTAGTGATAATAGTGAAAGCATAGTAACTGTGTTTCTGGCTTATTGATAACCATTTGTATACATATATATTTTTATTACAAATAACTTTGAACTAGTAATGCTTTAGCTAAACAATGACTGATAATTTTACAATGTATTTTGTAGTAAAACCATGGTACACTGAAAAAAAAAAAAGATTAATTTGATTGATTTTTTAGGTAAGCGGTTGCAAACAATGTATTTGGGCTGAATTTCAACAAATGAAGTTGAACATTGCTAAATTTTATTTGTTCATTTAAATTCACCCAATATAAATAGTTTGCAGCCACTTACCTTAAAAAAATTAAGCAAATCTAGTGAACCATTTTTTCCGTGCCACTTTTACATGCAAAACGAGCATTTATATAATTGGACTTTGCTCTGAAAACTGTATTGGGAGACAGACATTATGACAACTTCATCTAGATCTGCAGTTAACTATAGCTTTGGTACTACACGCAGACCCACCCCTCACTGACAAAGGCCCAGAATTTGTCCCAAATATTTGTCATTTGTCCTATTTAACTGCTATGCCATCATGATGAGTGAAAATAAGGCCGAGCGTAATTCTCTGTTGGCTGTCGTGACATCACCTGATCAGTTTATTTTTTACACTATTTTTCATCAGTCCGCCATCCAGCTGCTGGAAAACATACAATCTGTCATAAGTCAAGTCATCTTTCAATACTGTATTGTTGTTAAATAGAGAAAACAGGTTTAATAGAGAAATCAGGTTTTATTCTAAATCTTGGACCTTACTCTTGAGCAATAAAAAGGTGTAAAGCAACAACAATAAAAAAGCAGCTCATATTAAAATCAGTTTGAATACTAATTTGGTGAATGCTGTTGTCTATGACTTTTCTTATGCATTTTTTACAAGAGAGGCTAGAAAAATTATAAAGTTCTGCATTATTATTATTATTATTATTATGATTATTATTGTTATTATTTAGATGTTTTTTAGGCTTGTTTTTAATTATATATATATATATATATATATATATATATATATATATATATATATATATATATATATATATATATATATATATATATACGTTTTATTTCGGCTAGAATAAAAGCAGTTTTTAATTTTTTTTAAACCATTTTATGGTCAAAATTGTTAACCCTTTTAAGCTATTTCTTTTTTCGAGAGTCTACAGAACAAACCATCGTTATACAATAACTTGCCTAATTACCCTAACCTACCTGGTTAACCTAATTAACCTAGTTATGCCTTTAAATGTCACTTTAAGCTGTATAGAAGTGTCTTGAAAAATATCTAGTCAAATATTATTTACTGTCATCATGGCAAAGATAAAATAAATTAGTTACTAGAGGGAGTTACTGAAACTATTATTTTTAGAAATGTGTTGCAAAAATGTTCTCCCTGTCAAACAGAAGTTTGGGAAAAATAAACAAGGGGCCAAAAATTCTGGGGGGCTAATAATTCTGACTTCAACTATATATATATATATATATATATATATATATATATATATATATATATATATATATATATATATATATATATATATATATATAGATATATATATATATAGATATAGATATATATATCTTTAGTAAATATTTTTTGGGACATCAAAAGTATTATGACCATCCGACAAGCTAATTTAGCTACAATCAGTACTTAAAATGTATTAGGTCTCATAATCAAATAGAAAAAAAGGCGTTTAATTGCAAAAAAAAAGCTCCACTTTTTAAGAAAAGAAAAAAAAAGAAGAACCACCCTTTCAACGGGCTGGCTACGACCCAGACTCGTATACATTTATGGAAATTTGAGATAATTTATATAATCTGCTGTTCTGAACAACATCCGTTTACTGAGTGTCCAGGAATCCCGCGCGCTTCTGTGACGCGCACCAGTGTTCAGAGCAGACTCGAGCTCCACTCATTGATCACGTCACTGCCCACGAGCGACGCTGCTGTCAGTGCTGTGAGGATTTGTGTGGCTTTGAGCGCTTCCTTTTTCCTTTTTTTTCACGGATACACAGAGAGAGAGTTTTAACCAACAGGTTCTTCGCGCTCTGTAGTTCATTTCACTATAGAAGCGGATTTGGCGCAACACTGTATTTTCTCCCCTCACAGTAGGCTAAAGTTACTAAAAGTGCAGTTCTGGCAGCTTTCATTCGGTTCGGCTCGGTTTTATTCGGCTTGGAAAGGATGATGATGGGGACTTTACGCGACCTCCAGTACGCGCTTCAGGAGAAAATCGAAGAACTCAGGCAGAGAGACGCGCTCATTGACGAACTGGAGCTCGAACTGGACCAGAAGGATGAACTCATTCAGAAGCTGCAGAACGAGCTGGACAAGTACCGATCCGTGATCCGTCCGGCGACCCAACAGGTCCAGACGCGCTCGGAGCTGCCGGAGCATCAGCGCACCAAACGGCAGGCGATCAGCGCCGAACCCGCAAACATCCAGCAGCTGAGTCACGTGACGCTGCCCAACGTCCCCAAAAGCGCCAAGTAGGTTAATCTGACAGACTTAAACATTGTCAATCGATAGGGCTTAAATATCATCAACTAGTGCATTTTAACAGTCGATTAACTGCATCAAATACTAACTTGAATTTAACTTTAAACTATATCTCAGCAGTAAACCCATCACATGCCAGCTGATGCTGAGATTATTGAGTTTAATGATTTATTTGATGACTTTAATGTTGAAGTTTTAAGTAATCAAACACATATAAAGCTCTATAAAACAAAATACAGTATTTAAACTAGCATGAATTATAACTAGCCTACCAGATAACTAGTGTAAACCTGATTAGCAATTTTTTGGTGTCTTATAATATTTTACAGTGTTGCATGTGATCCATGTGCTTCCAGAAAAATATGAATAAATGATGCATATTTACATGCAACTAACACTAAACTTAACATTTATCCTAACCTTAGGTACACATTAAAATAATATTGCTCAGTAATTAACTGTATTGTAACACTGTAACAAGGTCAAAATAAACTGAAGTGTAACAGTGTTTACTAACACGGGCTCATTGGAAATACATGCTTTGAGAAAGATGTACTTTAATGCTCAGTATTCGCTTGTAAAGTCGTGACGTATCGATGACATATGCAATACTGTTGAATTGAGAAAATATTTGTTTATGGCCACGTTTTAGTCATATCACACATTAAAGTGAATTTTCTATAAAATCATGGTGTACACATTGGGATCTAGACTTGCTGCATCACAAGTATCAAAATGTTAACAATTTAAAAAAAAAAATTGTATCACTTTCTGACGATCGCATTATAGGCATGATATATATATATATATATATATATATATATATATATATATATATATATATATATATATATATATATATATATATATATATATATATATTGCGATTGTGATATTTGAAAGTAATGCATCGCTTTGTAAACATTTATTATTATCATTTTAAGAGTATCCTCATACACTTTTAAAGGTTCAGAACACCCTGGAGAACTTTTTTTTTTATATTAACAGATTTGTGTGTGTTGAGCATCAGTTAAGACAATGTTAGCACCTGTCAGCTTTAATTGTGGAGGAAACTGGATAATTTTGAGCTTTTGTCAGCTAATTTCAGCTTCCGGGTTTAAAATGATTTTTGGGGCGGGATCAAAATCGGCGATGTAGCGCAGTACTGCAAGTGCAATGATGATGCGTCTGTTTCTCATTATTGTTCATAGCGGAGTTTTCCTATCCTATGAGAAGAGCCGGCTGCTTAATTATTCATGAGACCTGCCAGACCTGCCAGTGTCAAGCCCGAGCTGTGAGACACGGAAACCACGGCACAGTATTTAGCCGTTCATGAAGGCTCATATGCGTTTGTTTTCATCATCCACGGGGTTTGTTGCATGTTTTCCCCCGCGATCTTGTCAGGGCCGATCATACAGCAAAGCTGTGTGTGTGCTGCTAGCATTTTTGTCGGGAGAGCAGCACGAGACGCTGTCTTTTATCAGGAGTTGGTTCACATTCAGACACATCACTGTGCTGCTGTTTTTGCCTAAATCCTCTAGATTACCAGCAGGGCTAATGGTTAAAATAGACAGGTCAAGAGACCTGCTGCACTGAGTCTGCTGGATACGGGGATTGAGGGAGAAGTCCTCATTTACAGTGTTTACATGAACACACATCTTTATAATGATATAAATTGTGGTTGTCTGTATATGGAATTACGAATAACAAATGTAGCAGGGCATTAAATCACTGTTCATTTCTTTGCATTTTAACTTCGTAAACTATAAACTCATGCGTCTCCTCTTTGTGTCTCATTTTGTGAGCTAACTGACAACAGCAGTTATTCGCTCCCCTTCTCCCCTGCTGGCCACGCCCACTCCTGCCCGATGCTCGCGGAGCTCCACGCCCATTAATTATGCATCTTTTGAAAAAATTCTGAAGTAGACTTTAACCGAAAGTGGGGGGTTTCATGGCCTTTTAAAGAGCGCCTGGACCCAGAAGCCGCTTCGCATGACGTCACACTCAATAGGCAGATATTTGACTGCGGTTTCTAGTTAAAATGAATGCCGCAGAGCATTATATAATGCCAACAACTTTTTCTCATTTTCACACTGATGATATTAATGATGATTTATGTGGCTGCAGTGCACTTTTCTCTAACGCCTGCCTTTGAAAACACTATTGGTTGGGTTTATGGCAGGGTAATAGGTCAGTGGTGTGCTGGGTAATCTGTACGACAAGCCCCACCTTCTCATGAATGTGTAAAAGAAGGAGGTGCATCTGAAACGTACAACAAAACATTCCCTAAACCCGCCTTTCCACTGCACATAATAAGCGACAGACCGGAAGTCAATTATTTCCAATGAAGAGTAGTCTGGAAGTAGGCATGGGATGATAACCAGTTTCTAGGTTTACTGCAGTTTGGAAAAGTCAAATGTCCTGTTTTACCGTTCCCTATATGTATGGGTTTTTTTAATGTATTTTTTATGTGTTGTAAAGAAATCTGTGTTTTTGAAACTAACGAAGAGAGCAGAGGTCAATGATTTATTTAAACTATTTAGCCTGACATGTTTACTGTTACAGAATATTATAAATGTTTCTTAAAATAAATTAAATTGTGCTCAATGGGGGGGGGGGCTCAATTTTCACCTAGACATTTAAAAACACGTATTTTAGAGCAGTAATCACAGTACTGTGATACCGTGAAACTGTGGTGTTATTATCCAAGGTTATCACACCATCAGCAACTTATCCGGCCCATGTCTATGCAGAAGCTGATCCAATCATCCGATCATCTTCGTATGAAGAAAATTCTGACGCAATTTGTGATGCGGATGCATTAAAATATTTGAACTCCTCTAACTAGACTTTATGTGACCGGCCGACTGGATGTGATGTATTCCAGTGTTGTCCAAACAGGTTCTTGCTCGTGAGATGAGTAGTTTTTTCCGTTATTTTTAAAAAAGAAAAAAAAGTGTATATTAAAAAACATTTCTATTCATAAATGAGCTATAAAAAATACTTTTCAATGTCGTATCCTCATTCCCTTCAGTATTTATAGCGGTCTATGACTTTCTAGTATTCATTCATTCATTCATTCATTCATTCATTCATTCATTCATTCATTCATTCAACCATGGTGAACACACAGAGAACAAAAGCACTTTTGCAGTTCTTTAGTTTGGACACCGTGAGAATCAGCTTCTCTATCATGGTGCATGACAAAACTGAAAATTGTTGTTCCTGCGACAAAAAAAAAGGAGTGTACATGACAACAGCACAATGACAGCATTAAATACAGACACTTTAAACTAATAATTTAACACATTTGTGTCCAATAATGTTTTTTTTTTCTGTATCGTGATCGCAAACAAATCTTTTTAACCGGATGTTCTAAGTAAACCAGTTGAACTAGTTCACTAAATCGAACTGAATCATTTGAAATGATTCACGTGTCCAGTAAGCACTTATCCACTACTACTAAAAAGAACCTACTTACTTTTTAACAAGCCTAATACCCCCCATTTGACTCGAAATAATTCAATATATACTCTTATTTAGTTATTAGAACAGTAACGTTACACTGAGATCAAATTTGAGAAGCGGTTAACCGCATGATTCAGTGAACCAAACACAAACAGTACATGACAGCCTGCAGTGAGTGAACTAAACTTGAACAACTGCAGCGCAGGTAAACCGAGGGCTTAAATGTGAGGATCTGGTGAAAAAAATGTAAGTTTATTTCATAACAGAAGGTCGTGATGGAATCATGCTTCAGTTAGGTTGCAAAGCTTTACTGTAAGACATTTTTCAGACCATGGTGATGTTTTAACTGACTGGAATTACTATTGCTGACTACATAATGTTGAGTCCTAACATCTGTGTTAAATATCTGAACACTGAAGTTCCATCACTACTGTGTATCTAACCTCAGAAGCAGCCTTGCACTGATATTGTACTTAATGCCTAGTTCAGACTGCGTGATTTTAGCCCCGATTTTGGCTCGCAGACAGGTTTTGAGAAATCGCCGACAAATGCCTGATATCACAGGCAAATCGCTGCTCGTGCACGTGAGTGACAATCACACAGTATGAACGATCAAAGACACGATCTGAGTGAATCGCAGATGAGTCGACGATGCCTGTGAGATATTTGGCGTGCTGAATATCTGGAGCTGTCGGCGATTCAAATCATGCCGTGTGAATTGAGTTTTGACTGAAAATAACATCAGCCATCGCCTACAGCCAATGAGAGAGCAGCTTTCACTTGTGTGTGTGTACCTGCTGCAGGCCAGCGGGAGGCTGGGGGAGAAGTTAAAAGCACTAATTTTCGCTTTATTTGGACCCACGAAATGGAGGAAAAACTAGTGGAGGTTTGACAGGACTCAGGACCAACCGTGTCTGTTTGACGTTTCATACAGAAAGAAATTAGTTTATTATCAACGTTGAGGAGAAATGGCTAATTCCCTTTAAACCCAGGTGAGCAAACATGTACATGTTCTACCCCATTAAAGGCTTCTTTCACATTATGTAGTTAATAACAAAAGATATACTACATGTTTTTGGCTGTGAGACGTAGTTTGGAAGAAGTTGTCGGCGATTCTCCCTATAGTAAAGTCATGCAATGTGAATGTCCATGTCGCCGAACCATCTTGCAGTGTAAATAAAGCAGCGACGAAACGCTAGCCCAGATAGTCATGCAGTGTGAAAACATCTGTGACATGACTAGTTTGAAAATCATGCAGTCTGAACTCGGCATAAGGCTGCTATCTTGTGGGCTGCTGTATTTTAATTTGAGGATGGGTAGGTTTCCCCCACAGTCCAAAGACATGCTGTACAGGTGAATTGGGTAGACTAAATTGTCTGAAGTGTATGAGTGTGTGTGTGTGAATATGTGTGTGGATGTTTCCCAGAGATGGGTTGCGGCTGGAAGGGCATCCACTGCGTAAAAACTTGCTGGATAAGTTAGTGGTTCATTCCGCTGTGGCGACTCCGGATTAATAAAGGGA